GGTGCACAGCCATTTTCAGATCTCTCCAGAGACGTTCAATCAGGTTCAAGTCTGGGCCACTCAAGGACATTCACAGAGTTGTCCCACTGCTTTGTTGTCTTGGCTGTCTGCTTAGGGTTGTTGTCCTGTTGGAAGATGAACCTTTCCCCCAGTCTGAGGACCAGACCGCTCTGGAGCAGGTTTTCATCACGGATGTCTCTGTACATTGCTGAATTCATCTTTCCCTCGATCCTGACTAGTCTCCCAGTTCCTGCCGCTGAAAAACATCCCCACAGCATGATGCTGCCACCACCAAGCTTCACTGTAGGAATGGTATAGGCCAGGTGATGAGCGGTGTCTGGTTTCCTCCAGACATGACGCTTGCCATTCAGGCCAAAGAGTTCAATCTTTGTTTCATCAGACCAGAGAATTTGGTTTCTCATGGTCTGAGAGTCCTTCAGGTGCCTTTTGGCAAACTCTGTCATGGCTGTCATGTGCCTTTTACTGAGGAGTGGCTTCCGTCTGGCCACTCTACCATACAGGGCTGATTGGTGGAGTGCTGCAGAGATGGTTGTTCTTCTGGAAGGTTCTCCTCTCTCCACAGAGAAACGCTGGAGCTCTGTCAGAGTGACCATCGGGTTCTTGGTCACCTCCCTGACTAAGGTTCTTCTCCCCCGATCGCTCAGTTTGGCCGGGCAGCCCGCTCTCGGAAGAGTCCTGGTGGTTCCAAACTTCTTCCATTTACGGATGATGGAGGCCACTGTGCTCATTGGGACCTTCAATGCTGCAGAAACTTTTCTGTACCCTTCCCTAGATCTGTGCCTCAATACAATCCTGTCTCGGCGGTCTACAGACAATTCCTTGGACTTCATGGCTTGGTTATGTGCTCTGACATGCACTGTTAACTGTGGGACCTTATATAGACAGGTGTGTGCCTTTCCAAATCATGTCCAATCAACTGAATTTACCACAGGTGGACTCCTGTCCAATCAACTGAATTTACCGCATGTGGACTCCAATCTAGTTGTAGAAACATCTCAAGGACGATCAGTGGAAACAGGGTGCACCTGAGCTCAATTTTGAGTGTCATGGCAAAGGCTGTGAATACTTATGTACATGTGATTTTTTTCGTTTTTTATTTTTAATAAATTTGCTAAAATTTCAAACAAACTTCTTTCACGTTGTCATTATGGGGTACTGTTTGTAGAATTTTGAGGAAAATAATGAATTTAATCCATTTTGGAATAAGGCTGTAACATAACAAAATGTGGAAAAAGTGAAGCATTGTAAATACTTTCCGGATGCACTGTATTTTGTAACATTATAAATGTCTTTACAGCAGGGTTATTATAGTTAACTAAAACTAAACTGAAACTGAAATAAAACCATAAATTGTAGTTGGTTACTACAATAAAAAAGAAATTTGAAATTTAACTTTAATTGAATAAAGTTAAATAAAATAATATATATATTTAAATTTTTTTAATTCAGTTGAACTTGATGTATTAAAATTACTAAAACTAAAACTGAAATAAAAAAAAGAAAAACGATATATATATAAACTACTAAAAATGACAAAAAACACAACATTACTAAAACTTGACCTAAAATTAAAATGAAAAATATAGAAATATAAATGGTTAAAATTTCAATAAAAACTGTAATAGTATCTCAGTGATACTAAAATAATACTGCTTTACAGTCACTTTTGGTCAACTTGATTCATCTTTGCTGAATAAAAGTATTAATTTATTTAAAATAATAATAATAATATTAATAAATACAATGAAAATTTGCTGACCCCAAACTTCTGAACAGTAGTGCATATGTAAGTGATCAATTTGATAGTATTACAGTACCATATCATTCATTCATTCATTTATTCATTCATTTACTTAATTATTTATTTATTTGGATTAAAAAAAATATTAGAGGATTTTTTTTTTTTTTAATTAATTTTTTTAACTTTATTAAAAGTTTTTTTTTTATTATTGCTATATGCCAATATTGGATACTTGATTATTTATGGTCATCTAATGCTCAATTCAAGTAAATCCTAAAAACACTAATAATTTTAATGTTAAATGTAAATCTTCAGCAAATCTCAAAATAAATATAAACATTATAAATATGTACATATAAAGTTATGATGCCTAAATTTTAAGTTTTTAGTGCTTTTTTTCTTTTCTTGATTTCTTTTTATTTCTCTTTTTGTAGTATTTTTAATACTAATATCCATTTACCAGTTGTTGACAATAACATTAAAATGATCAGCTTATCAGTATCAGCCAAAATTTCAATATTTGTGCATCTCTAGTATAAACAAAAGATATAATATAGTGTAATATAGTAAGGATCATGTATCAAAACTGTTAGGAGTCGGAATAACAGCTGTAATCCTATCCCTACTATAAAACGCATTTCTGTCAGGCAGAGATGCTCTTGTCATTGAAAGTTGTATCATGTAGGTGGCCAACCTAGTGTGTTCACAGTGACGACCTCGCTGAACGGGCCCGTCCCCAGTTTGTTCTGGGCCAGGACACTGAATTGGTAGGCCGTCTCGGACACCAGGCCTTGCACCAGGAGCCAGTGCTGCCCGCTGGGCACAGGCATGGACAGCCAGTCATGCGGTCCTAACTGCTCCCTCTTCACCCTGCAGGAGGAGTCACATGCACAGATGGAAAGAGTTCAGCACGGCACAAGCATACATGCACATACGCTCCGATAATGATTGCCATGTCGCTCACAATACTGATGAGAGCACTGCCTGCAGCTAGACGCAAAAAGACAGCTTGTTTGGCTCAGTGTGAGTGCTCAGTGATATCCAATAACACAAAACTGTCTCCTGCTTTCCCAGTGGAAATTCTGAAGAATGCAACTGCGTTTTCGACTGTTGATCTTTACAAAAAATATCCTCATAGATCTTCAGTGCGCCTTGTATGCCCTACAGCCCTTTTCCCCTTTATCTCTTGAGAATGACCTATGGCTTGAAATGAGTCTTATGGACAATACATCTCCTATAGAAAACAGCCAGAATGGCTACAATGTTGTGGAGAAGTGGAGAAGTGATTTTTTTTTTATGTTGATAATGTATTGTTAGCCTTAGAGTGTGACATCATGTCCTGTTGCACATATCCATTGCAAGTAGTTTTGCATGCTCAAAGTTTCGTGTAACTGCACCAACAGCCAGCATGCTTCATTCCTGATAAACTGCTGCCCTTGGCATGCATGGAATGACTCCCGCGGGACGTCCAGGCTAAATTCACGCTCAATTTCTTCTACCTCCATCGTACCCAAGCAACACAAGGACACCATGCATGCCCCCCTTCAGTACATTATTATATATTTATATATTTTTTTTAAATAAATCGTCTCCGTGTCTTTGTTCACCATAAACTTTAAAGGATGAATCTGTGAGAACTGACATTGGTGTTTTTTCAGCTATCTATCTTTGTTCACCATAAACTTTAAAGGATGAATCTGTGAGAACTGACATGGGTGTTTTTTCAGCTATCTATCTTACTATTCAGACTTTGTCTTAAAATATGAAAATCCGTTATGAAAATATTAATTCATGTTAAAAACGCTGTTCACCTTAACAGAATTGAAATAAACAAATAATATGTATAATATAAAAAAACAATATAATAATAATAATAACAAATAATATTACATTAAAATAAATTCTAGTTTTATATATATATTTTTCAATTGTTAATTTATAACATTAGAAATATAGAATTCATTTTCACACCAAAAAAAAAGAATTTTGAATGCTATAAAAATTTGAAATGTTTATAATATATATATAATAATTATATAATATGAATTATATAGAATTCATTTTCACATGATAAATATTTCAATATTTTATGTAATAACATATATGATTATATCATTCTAATGCAAGAAGCAAGAAGCCAGCCAAGAAAGTTCAAAATGTAATTTCTCTCACAGATTGCTGTGCTAAACACAAGGCATCATTCAAGATGTTGAAATTTCACTGTGTTAGGAATATTAATGACTTTCAAAAAGAAAACAGTAAGGAATTGGGTGTATACGTCATTCACCCCATTCCTATTGATGAGTCATAATATTCCACTGAGGTATAATTGATCACTTCCTTCATGTCCTTATAGCATGACACAGGCTCTTGAGATGTGTGTTATTCACAGCATCTCAGCGGTCGCTCAGCACCTCTGAGTAAGTACTGAGTAAGTAAATGAGTAAGTACCAAATATGGCTAACAAAGACACAGTTTGAAGGAGATTTAAAGTCAAATGATTGAGATGTTCTTGCTCGTACCCACCGAAGCAAACAAACAAAGGTTATTGCGAAGCATGTGACATTCTATAGGGGCAGGAGCACAGAGAGCAATAGAATGCTGCTGATATTCCGGGTGAATATCGAAGAGGACAGCGCCACACAGGGAGCAGAATCACAGGGATGCAGAAGCACTGGCATGGGCGGCAGAGAGATGAAGAGAGGCGGAGGAGACGACTGAACAAGGAGACGGACGTGCTGCTGATTAAGCCAGAAGCAAGAGTTTGCCATTATGGATCAAGTCATTAACAAAAGTACCTCAGTGGCACCTCTTTAAACCCTGGATGTCACCTTACCAAACCAAGTAATGAAAACTTTTAAAATTATGATACAGTAAATACTTACTCGCAATATAGTTGGTTTTCTGGTGGTATGGTTAAAATATCAAAACTGCAAAATATCACTGAACTGCGAGAAGGCACAAGACAAAGTCTTTACATCAATATTTACTTTTCATGCATAAGAATCATCAGAATCGCTTTAATGCCTTCATAATGTACTGTATGTACAAACTGGAGGTTCACATCTGAGAAGTTCTACTGTACTTAACATTGTTTAGAAAATGTCATTTGATGTTTTCTATATTATGATTAACATTTACAGTATGTTGCTTCCTGCAATTAATCCAAATTATGACCAAGTGACAAAAATCATACACAATAACACGCCCAAATTAGTGATAATTATTTTGTTTAAAATATTTGTAAGTCCCTTTGGATAAAAGAGTCTGTTAAATGTAAATGTAAATATTTAGCAAATTTTATAAAATTACTTAGGGATGCACGATATTATCGGACCAATATCGGATATGAAAAATTATGCCGATATGTCTTTCTGATAAGAAGAATACATTAACTCCCATGTGGTCAGGGTGTGCTAGCGATAAGATCACGTCAACAGTGCGATTAGATCACGTCAACAGTGCGATTAGATCAAGTCAGCAGTGTGGCTCATTCTTGAAGCAGTTTTGCCTGAATGATGATTAGATTCACTGTTTTGGATCACTGCATTTAAACGCTTCGGCGTATGATAGAGTAAACAGTAATAGCACGGGCAGTGGCAGCAGAGGCAGCCTCCCCCGGGTCCTAAAGCCCGCTCAGTAAGGAGGTTTAATTCCGTAGGGGGCGCTGTTGACCTACTTCTAATAAAATGAAAGCAAAATACACAAATAGACTGTGTTTATAAAGCAGTAATTGATGCCAGAAAATCATGAGTATGTTTTGATTTAAAGGTCAGAAGGTATAGCTTACATGAAAAAAAATCACAAACATGACACTTAAATTAAATTATTTTATATATACTGATTTATTCATTAATGTGTAATATGTTGTATTTTTTAAACAAATTATGAGCTCTAAAAGATTTTCAGAATTTTTACAACTCTTTTGCTTTAGACCATTTAGAAATGTTAGATCTTAAAATAAAATGTTAAGGTTACCACTGCATCTTTCTGAAAAAAAAATGCAGCATTTGAATATAGTTTATTTATAGTTATTTTCAAATATTCAGTGTACTGTCATTATAAACGAACTTCATTATTGTTTATTAAATTCTAACAAATAAATTCTTGTTAAAAACTAACCAAAATTAAAAAATAATTTGCTTATCATTTCTGCACAGGAGAGACTTGGTGTTATTTCCAAACAAAAGGAAATATATCGGTATCGGCATCTGCTATGTGTTGAAAAATATCGGCATATCGGATATCGGCAAAAATCCAATATCGTGCATCCCTAAAATTACTTTTTCATTCCGCTTGACTGGTCAGAAATCATGAGATTATTTTATTTCACCAATAAAAAAAGTTTTGGAACAAAACGTTTTGGAAACTTGGGTTGAAACAAAGATATACTGTTAACTTCATTCAAAATAAATATTACCCAGACATTTATATTGTCTTTATATGCTCTACAGGGTCACCTAAAAAAAGTCGGTCACCTAAAAATGAAAATGTTGTCATCGTTTACTTACACTCATGTTGCTCTATTATATGCACAAAAACTTACATTTCTTTTGAAAAAGAACTTCTTGGCAGAAGAATGTTCCCGTGGCAACTAACTGAAATAAGTTGAAATACTAAAACTTAAAATAAATTTAAAATGTAAAATAAATTAAAGCTAAATAGAATATTTAAAAAAGTGACAAAACAAAAGTGGCAAAAGCACATAACATTATTACTAGAACTTAAACTAAAATTCAAATGTAAACTATATAGTAATATATAAACAATAAAATTAAATTAAATGATGACAACTTTCATTTTTGGGTGAACATAACTATAATTTTTTCTCACAGTATGAATGGTTCTGCATACATAAAAATATAGAGCTGCCTTTATGTTTTAGGAAAGGGGTTCTTGACATTAAACTATAATAAAGCAAAAATCCAATATTGTGCATCCCTAAAATTACTGTTTCATTCCGCTTGACTGGTCAGAAATCATGAGATTATTTTATTTCGCCAATAAAAAAAAGTTTTGGAACAAAAAGTTTTGGAAACTTGGGTTGAAACAAAGATATACTGTTAACTTTATTCAAAATTCATTCAAAATAAATATTACCCAGACATTTATATTGTCTTTATATGCTCTATGTTTTAGGAAAGGGGTTTAAAGGGGTATACATTAAACTATAATAAAAAAAACACCTTACCCTAACATAAATGTGTTTTCCATAACAAATGTTACAACCGATGGCACGCCAGACTCAGCAGCAGACTGTTCCTTCCAAATCACATAAATATGTCATTATTTTTAGTGTGCTGAAGTGTTTAAAAAGCAGTCGAACTGCACACAACACCACAATTGTCTTGTCAACTTAATAAGGTACTTTGCATGCAGCTCGACTCAGAACGACTCTGTGGAGAGATTTTACTGCCTGATCATGCCATTCCAATTCTATTGTTATGAGCCTCATTAACACGGCCAACATGCTAGCTAACTGCTTGTAGAACAAAAAAACTCAATAAAGAAAACAGTGAATCTAGACTACTCATGGAATGATTATCTTTGTTCAAGACTTCCAGTATGAAGTTATTTGGAAGTTATGAACAAGAGTTTGAAGAACGTTACATAAAACTAGAAATGTATTATATGCCATATAAAGAGTCCTGACCATGATATTATACCCATAATTAAAACTCTTAACATTTTAACTGCACTGACATTAATATTAACAGTGTGTCCGATTCAAGATCGGAGGGCCCTGCTGGTCATCTCACCCCTAGGGGGAAAGGTTTTGCCCCATTGCCCCCAGATGTAGCAGCCTCACAGCAGCAGCAGAGCTCAAGTCAATAGTTAGGAAAAGAAGCAGAAAGCAAAGCATGCTGGGATGACTCACACATGGCCGTACCAGACTGAGAATGTCTGCTCAAAGCCGCCATCGTAACTGGGTTCCCACGAGACGTTGGCCGAGGTCGTCGAGACCGAAACGTGGACTTTGGCGGCAGCGTGTGGGCTTGTGCCTGTGGGAGGAGGACAACTCGTGTCACACTCGATATAAACACACACTTGTACGCAAAAGCTAAAGCAAGGCCACATATTTTATTTCCATAAAACGTTGTCTGTAAAAAGCCCTCGCTCACTTGTCTTAACACAAACACTTGCACTAACACAAACAGACTCTGTGTTTCCCGACTTACCGAAGGACTTTTGTACAGAGAGTTTTTTGAGAGGAACTCAAATAGCTAACAGCTTAACCTAGCAGCTGCTGCTTAGCTGCTAACCAGCGACCCAAAAAAGTTTCTTTAACGGACAGTTTCACTGCAGCCACATAAATCCAAACACGCCCAATAGCACACTGGACATGCCAAAACAGTGGGCAGCAATATAAGGACTGAGCTGGCAGTGTTGGTCTACAGCTGCACTAGTCACTAATAGAAAGAGACCATGAGGACGTTAGCATTTGCACTACTTTCCTCTATTGAATTTATAAGCTATATCCTATAAGATTAGAGTTTAAGTCTGCATGTGCATATACTTCAAAGTAAGATACTGCAGTAGCTAAATAGCAATAGCAAGTAATCTTTACACAAAAATTGATACTTTTGACAAGTATGTGCTATTAATGTAATGTGCTTTACATCAAATGAAGACACCAGTCATATCAGTGTCCTAGAATGAGCTACGTTAATATAATGAGGGAGATTAGGGAGATGACAACTAACTTTCTCAGAAAACCTGCTTATTTTTTTTCACAATTTTTGATATACTGTAACTGGATAAGGATTTTTTTTTTTATTTAGACAATTTGGCACGGAGTCATTTAGACTGATTTGTGGACCTGTTAGACCAACTCACTGAAACAAAAGTCCTTGAAAGAATCATTTGTTCAACGAAGTTTTAGTGAACAGCAGTTACTGCTAAAACTAAAACTATTAAAATAAATAAATAAATAAAATTATAATAACTGAAATAAAGCTGAAATAAAATAAAATCTTAGTATTTATAAAATACTACAAACATCTCAAAAAACTGAAAATTAGAAATGCTGCCTTGGCAACTAACTGAAAAAAATAAGTTAAAAAAAATATATATAATAATTTAAATAGAAATATAAAAAAAATAATTTTTTTGTAAAAATTCCAAAAGTACATAACAAAATGACTCAAACGTATGCTAAAATTAATATGAACTGAAAATATAAAAATAACAGGTAATTCAAAAAATTTATAATAGTATAAAAAAATAACTAAAAATATATACTAATATACTAAAATAACACTGAAGCACAGAAATAATAATTAGCCAAAAAGTATTTTACATCAATTTAAATAGAAATATAAAAAAAAAATTTTTTTTGTAAAAATTCCAAAAGTACATAACAAAATGACTCAAACGTATGCTAAAATTAATATGAACTGAAAATATAAAAATAACAGGTAATTCAAAAAATTTATAATAGTATAAAAAAATAACTAAAAATATATACTAATATACTAAAATAACACTGAAGCACAGAAATAATAATTAGCCAAAAAGTATTTTACATCAGAGGAGTAGAAAAATATATATTCAATATAGAAATTTCCATGACTTTTAAAAAATTCCCTAATATGTTAGATTTTCCATGACTGTGGGAACCCAGAGTCAAAGACCACTGTTGTCCTGCAAAATATAAACTAAAATCTTTGTGCACCTTTAACGAAAATAACACCTTTAACACTCTTTGATCTAATATGATCAAAATTCATCACTGTATGGAAAAATCACTTTATCACAAGTCGTGTTTGTGCATCATGGGGTTGCGCTATTTGTCTCAACGCCTCATACCGATTACTAGGAGGTGCGTGCTGGCAGTGATGCTCGTGGCGACATTGGAGGCGACACACTCCCACTCCCCATGGTCCTCCTTGCTGAGAGATTTGAACTGTAAGCTGCCTCGTGGTAGGACGTTGTGCTTGCTTCTGCTGGGCTTCCCTACCTTCTCCAATAAAAGAAAACAGTTCTAGCAAACGCTTCAGTTGGGTTGACAATAATACAGGATCCTACTTAAGGATCCTTAAGGATGCGGCTTACCTTTCTCCATGTAATGTTGGGGAATGGGTCTCCTTCTGCCTCACAGGGGATGACCAGCTCTCGACCAGCCTCCTGCCTGTACTCCCCTCCAGGAACCACCAGAAATTTGGGTGGGTCCTGTCCATCGCCAAACAACACATTATATTGATGCAAATAAATGATATAATAAAAAAGGTAAACAAGGTAAAGGTAGTTCAAATAAAACCTACAAGTTTACTTTACCTTTAGCACCAGAGGAGCGGGAGGGGACTGTCCCATTGTACCGAGGCTATTGTAAGGCACGCAGGTGTAGGTGCCGAGAGAGTCCTCTGTCACCTCAGACACTCGAATGCTCCCATCTTCCATTTGGCTCCAGCCAGGGTACTGCAACAGAGAGAAACATCAGCACACATAGAATCAGGGAAATCGTTTCCTGTATCTCAAACAGTAGAGCATGACAATGTTTGATTCTCAGGGATTTGATTCTCAATGATTTTGCACACTACCATTCAAAAGTTTGTGGTGTGTAAGATTTTTTTTTTTTTTTAAATAACTCTTATGCCCACAAAGGCTACATTTATTTGAAAAACAGTAATATTTCAAAATACTATTATAATTGAAAATTACTTTTCTATTTTAATATATTTCAGCCACATGTTTCTTCATACAGTAAATCATTCTGATGTGCTGAACTGCTGCTCAAGAAACATTTTTAATTATTAGCAATGTTGAAAACAGTTGTACTGCTTCATAAAACTGATACAGGAATATTTTTTCAGGATTTTTTGATAATGAAAAAGTTCAAATGAACAGCATTTATTTAAAATAGAATTCTTAACATTATAAATGTTTTTTTAAATCACTTTTGACCAACTGGTTGGGACCTTGTTGAACTAAAGTATTACTTCCTTTCAACAACAACAACAACAAATCTTTCTAACCCCAAACTTTTGAATGGTAGTGTATTTTAAATTTGTACTTTGCTTTGTATAAAAGCATACTGGATGCATTAAAAATATATACAATGTTAAAATTGCACAATGTAAGAAATTATATAAAGCGCAAATTTCACACTCAGTATAATCACAGTATGAAAAATTAGGCCTCTCTGAGAATTATATGCAATCAATTTGAGGCTAATAGGGACACTAAATAAAATCACTTAAGTAAAAATGAACAAAAAAAAGTGAAGGGGCCATTTTATACACCTTATCACCTTGAATCATTAAAAGGGACATCGGATGCCCATTTTTCACAAGTTGGTATGATTCTTTAGGGTCTTCATGAAATGTCTGCAACATACTTTGATTAAAATTTCCCAACGGTCATGTAAAACAACACCCTTTTTTATTTGCAAATCACCTTTCCTCTTCCATGGAAAAGAGGGGTGGGGTGAGCAGAGCACATCAGCATTTAAAGAGCCATGCACCGAAACGGGTTGCTGTGAACAGAGCTGTTTTTGACAAGGTAAAAAAGCCATTGAGCCATTTTACACGACCATTGAGGAATTTTAACCAAAGAATGCTGCAGACATTTCATGAAGACCCTAAAGAATCATACCAACTTGTGGAAAATGGGCATCCGATGTCCCCTTTAAAATCCTATCATTATTTTCCAAATCTAAAAAGCTTTTGAATTTATTAAAACACTCTTGTTATAATGGTTCCTATACCCCTGACAAGCCATACAACTATTGCATTCCGTGAAATGAATGGAGTGGATTTGCTCTCAGAGCACTTTAGATGTAACATGATAAGCCTGCACATTTTCATCTACATGGCCACTATCCTTAAAAGCCAACTGTACTGTCTGTACAGTCAGGGGCGTAATTTCCACTGGGGACAGGGGGGACATGTCCCCCCCACTTTTCAAAATTCCACTTCTCAAACCAAAGTTACACCCTTGTGTACAGTACTGTACTTACAGCCATTCTCCATTTGGCTTTATAGTTGAAGAGGAGCCAGTGATCTTTGTCTGTGTGAGACTATGAAATCAATGTGAACTGTGAATAAAACCCATCTCACACAGCTGAGAGAGAGAGAGAGAGAGAGAGAAAGAGATCGCCGAGGCCCATGTGACAGCATCTGTGAAAGCACTGAGATCATTGTCCAGCTGGACTCACCTTCTCTATCCGCAGAGGCAGGCTGTCCTTTTTCCACTTCACTGAAGTGACAGGCGGGTTGGCATCCACCGGGCAGCGGATGTACCCCGGCAGTCCGATAGCCACGTAAATAACAGGCGGCATGTTTACAACACGGGCAGGGTCTACGGGATATAACGAGAGGTAAAAACATTTAAAACAGCATAAGCACTTTTATAAAGAGTTGTTATAAAATTAGACATTTAGGTTAGTCCATTGTTAAACTGTCAGACAGATGAGAGGAGTTTGTACTGGATGTCTCTCTGAGCCATTAGTCTGGAACATTTAGCACAAATCCTCTGAATAAATCAAGTACTGATGGAGAAGTACACTAATAAAGAACTTTTCGCTCTCACATGCCTGAAATGAGAGTGTGAAATGCGACAAAAAGGTCTGAACTAGCTCACACTGAGACTGTTATTCAGCTAATCGTAGGACAGCACAGTTAGCTCCTTGGAAACAGAGGGGGAAATAGCTACAAGTTACATAACTGAAAATAAAAACAAAATTTAAATATTTTTTACAGAAAATGTTGTGTTTGCCCATGCAAAACTCTCCACAATGTAGGCAACTGAAAAGATGATGGTAGGGTGTTGTGGGCTGATTTTAATTGAGAGAGCCACAAAAAAGATCCCAAATCCCTATGGCATTTTTGTCACTAAATATGGTTTACCTTTTCAGTTGACTAAACAGGCAGTGTTTAGTGTAAGAAAGCATTTCCTAAGGAAACTGGATTGGCTTCCAAGGCACAATAATGGCATGTCTAATGATATAAAGCAATTTCAAGTTTTAGAGATAACTGCAAATATTTTGTGACTACAATATTTATTTTACTGTAGAACTGGAGTCTTAAGTTGACTCGTCATTTAAAAGTTTAAGGTCAGTAAGATTTTTTTTTTAAACAATTATTCAACAAGGATGCATTGAACTAATCAAAACTGACCGTTTTTTTCAGACATTCGGACATTTATTATGTTATTTAAAAAAACTATTTAAAAAAATGCTGTTCTTTTAAATTAACTTTTTTTCCACCAAAGATTTTTTTTTTTAAGTATCACAGTTTCCACAAAAATATTAAGCAGCACAATTGTTTCTTGATCCCCAAATCAGCATATTACAATGTTTTCTGAAAGATCATAAGAAAATTCAGCTTTACCATCACAGGAATAAATTAAATTTTAAAATACATGAAAATGGATAGTTATAGAGTTATTTTATTTGTTAATAATATTTCATAATATTACTTTTAACTGTACTTTTGATCAAATAAATGCAGTCTTGGTGAGCATAAGCTCATAACCAACCCCAAACCTTTGAATGAAAAATGTATACATAAATATAACAAATAAACACACCATAAATAACAAACACATTATTTGGTCAATCAACTGCATGTACAGAATTGTGCGATATCACAGGCAATGAAGGAAAAAAACAACCAATGCTGTGAAAAGCCACTATTAATTTATTTGAGCAACAAAGTATGAACAACAGCATTATTTCTGATAACTTTTCCCTTCTTTATATTGTATAAACAACATCTAAAGCAAAGCGTATCAATAATACTGTAAAGAGATTCAGTTGCATGTGACTCATAAATCACAGTCTCTAATTAGTGAAGACACCAGCCAACAGCTGCATGCTGAAGAACGAAAAGGAGCGGCGCTCCGAAACGAACACTTTGAAGAATCCACTGCTCCATCTTAAGGCTTAGCAAAGTGCCAGGGTCTATTTTTAGACCCTGTGTGGAGCTGAGGGATGGGATGAAGGGAGGAGTGGACCAGAAAGAAGTGTAGAGTTGAGAAAAGAACAGAAGAAAAGGGAGTCGTGAGGATGAAGGACAGGAATGCTAAGGAAAAGAAAAGGAAGAGGAGGAAGAAAGAAAAAAAAATGTAGGCAATCTCAATGCATGGAGCAGACCTGCAATGCCGCCAGACGTCCAACGGGGCCGCCATCGCCCACGCTAACAGTCTGCCAGAGTGTCTGCAGATGACATCACTGCAGAGAAGAGGGTTTCCACACAGGATGATGTCATCCCTTTATATTCCCCCCTCCTTTTTTCTCACTCACTGTCAAATACACTTTCTCTGCGCCTCTGCTCGCTACACACATGGGCGGTCAGGCTATGTGCCAGCGGATGAGACTGTTTCAGAGGACAGGTGAAAATTCCTGCAGTCTGGGCTTTCTGCTATGATGTAATCCCTTTCCGCCACTTCAACCGTGCCAAGCTGGTCCGACACAGGCTTCCTCCGAGAGAGGGAATCTGAAATGTCTGTTGCCTTGGATACCACAGCCCCTTCTGCAGCGTTCATTCCCATCGCTATTTATTGCAAATGCAACATGTTTGGGGGGTTTTTTTTTGGTGCTTTTTTCCAACAATGTCTAGAAACCCATGTTCTTTGCGTCAGTCTATCGGTGTGGAGGACGTGAGCCGTGACTGAGTGATCTGCTAGCTTACTCACTCAAGGTCACTGTTTCAATTCTGCTCCAGACTCCGGGGACAGAAGGCCATTCCAATCTCTCGGTTGCAAATAGAAAGCGTCAGCCTGCACAACAGCGGCATTTGAAGCTAATACACCCTCGTGCCCATTTATTGAGACGGAATATGCCAGGAGACTAAAGTAACCCTTCATCAATTACAAAAGATCACTCTGCAAGTAAATCTGTTACATACCACCGTTATTCAGCATACATGAAAACGTAAAACTTATTTGTCCCATGATGAAAAGGCATAATGCGCTGATGAAGGTTGTTTTCATGCTCAATCCAGTGAGAGTGAGACCAATGTCACAGATTCAGGATGAAGGAGAATTCCTCCTCTATTATGTCATGTATGACATTATGTAATACAATAGGCAATTGGGAATCACTGCTTCATCTAAAAAGGATTTGTTACAGTGAAAGGTTGTCATTGTATCAAGTAATACAGGACATCATCATGTAGTATAAATTCAGGAAATCACCTATGTCAGGAAGTCTTAAATCATCTGCATTGGTGTTTGTTTTTTTTACAACAAATTGGAAGAAAGTTTATATAATCATTACTTTATTGTTTAATTTAATAATTCATTAATTTATTTCTTGGTTATTTACTTTAATAAATATTTACTTATTTAATTTGTTCAATTATTTATTTTTTTCTTCATTCATTCATTTACAAATTGGAAAATTTATGACAATGATCACTTTATTCTTTAATTCAACAATTTATTTATATGTTGGTTTATTTATTCAATTATTTATTATTTACAACAAATTGGAAGAAAATGTATGACATTACGATTGCCAGGTCACTAATCAAATGTATGCAAATTTGTGACACTGACAGTGTGTACAAACATCAGATGTTCTTAGTTTTAGAAGCACAAGATGCTTTGGATCATTCTCAAATCATGCTGGATGACATACATGATGATCACGTTCAACAAAACAGACGTTTTTCGGATTTTTGAACCCACTGTATGTTTGGCAGGATATATTGACAAGAAGTAAAAATACCAAATCGATTCTATTCTGGTGGTTTCTCGCCTACATACTGCAGTTGTAGTTCAGCATCTGCCCTGTGCAATGCAGTGAGAATTTTTAGGGGCACCAGAAAAGGACAAATGTGACCCTGTTGCACAAAACTTAAATGAAGTCTTAAGTCGCTGGGGTATATTTGTAGCAATAGCCAAAAATACATAGTATGGGTCAAAATTATAGATTTTTCTTTTATGCCAAAAATCATTGGGACATTAAGTAAAGATCATGTTCCATAAAGATATTTTGTAAATTTCCTACTGTAAATATATCAAAACTTAATTTTTGATTAGTAATATGCATTGCTAAGAACATCATTTGGACAACTTTAAAGGCGATTTTCTCAATATTTTGATTTTTTTGCACCCTCAGATTCCAGATTTTCAAATAGTTGTATCTC